AGTTACAAACTACTATGTATAAAAGAAATAAGCTACAAGGATATATTGTATAACACAGGGAATATAACCAACATTTTATAATTACTAATAATGGAATATAAACCTTTAAAAACTGTGAGCCACTCTGATGTACACCTGAAATTTGTATAATATTGTATACAACTATCAGTTTAGTTCAGTTCAGTTCAGTCGCTCAGTTGTATCCAACTCTTTGCTACCCCATGGACTGCAGCACCTCAGGCCTCCCTGTCCATCACCAACTCCCGGAATTTACTCCAACTCATGTACATTGAGTCGGTGATGCCATCCAACCATCTCATCCTCTGTCATCCCCTTCTCCTCTCACCTTCAATCTTTCCCAGCACCAGGGTCTTTTCAAATGAGTCAGCTCTTCACATCAGGTGGCTAGAGTGTTGGAGTTTCAGCTTCAACATCAGTCCTTCCAATGAACATCCAGGACTGATCTCCTTTAGGATGGACTGGCTGGATCTCCTTGCAGTCCAAGGGACTCTCAGAGTCTTCTCCAACACCACAGTTCAAAAGCATCAATCCTTCTGTGCTCAGCTTTCTTTATAGTCCAACTCTCATATGTACTCCTTTTCCTATTTGGAACCAGTCTGTTGTTCCATGTCCAGCTCTAACTGCTGCTTCCTGACCTGTATACAGGTTTCTCAAGAGACAGGTCAGGTGGTCTGGTATTCCCATCTCTTTCAGACTTTTCCACAGTTTATTGTGATCCACACAGTCAAAGGCTTTGGCATAGTCAATAAAGCAGAAATAGATGTTTTTCTGGAACTCTCTTGCTTTTTCGATGATCCAGCAGATGTTGGCAATTTGATCTCTGGCTCCTCTGGCTTTTCTAAAACCAGCTTGAACTTCTGGAAGTTCATGGCTCATGTATTGTTGAAGCCTGGCTTGGAGAATTTTGAGCATTACTTTACTAGTATGTGAGCTGAGTGCAATTGTGCGGTAGTTTGAGCATTCTTTGGCATTGCCTTTTTAGGGATTGGAATGAAAACTGACCTTTTCCAGTCCTGTGGCCACTGCTGAGTTTTCTAAATTTGCTGGCATATTGAGTGCAGCACTTTCACAGCACCATCTTTTAGGATTTGAAATAGCTCAACTGGAATTCCATCACCTCCACTAGCTTTGTTCATAGTGATGCTTCCTAAGGCCCACTTGACTTCACATTCCAGGATGTCTGGCTCTAGGTGAGTGATCACACCATTGTGATTATCTGGGTCATGAAGATCTTTTTTGTACAGTTCTTCTGTGTATTCTTGCCACCTCTTCTTAATATCTTCTGCTTCTGTTAGGTCCATACCATTTCTGTCCTTTATTGAGCCCATCTTTGCATGAAATGTTCCCTTGGTATCTCTAATTTTCTTGAAGAGATCTCTAGTCTTTCCCATTCTGTTGTTTTCCTCTATTTCTTTGCATTGATCACTGAGGAAGGCTTTCTTATCTCTCCTTGCTATTCTTTGGAACTCTGCATTCAAATGGGAATATCTTTCCTTTTCTCCTTTGCTTTTCGCTTCTCTTCTTTTCACAGCTATTTGTAAGGCCTCCTCAGACAACCATTTTGCCTTTTTGCATTTCTTTTCCATGGGGATGGTCTTGATCCCTGTCTCCTGTACAATGTCACGAACCTCCGTCCATAGTTCATCAGGCACTCTGTCTATCAGATCTAGTCCCTTAAATCTATTTCTCACTTCCACTGTATAATCATAAGGGATTTGATTTAGGTCATACCTGAATGGTCTAGTGGTTTTCCCTACTTTCTTCAATTTAAGTCTGAATTTGGCAATAAGGAGTTCATGATCTGAGCCACAGTCAGCTCCCGGTCTTGTTTTTGCTGACTGTATAGAGCTTCTCCATCTTTGGCTGCAAAGAATATAATCAATCTGATTTCGGTGTTGACCATCTGGTGATGTCCATGTGTAGAGTCTTCTCTTGTGTTGTTGGAAGAGGGTGTTTGCTATGACCAGTGCACTCTCTTGGCAAAACTCTATTAGCCTTTGCCCTGCTTCATTCCACACTCCAAGGCCAAATTTGCCTGTTACTCAAGGTGTTTCTTGACTTCCTACTTTTGCATTCCAGTCCCCTATAATGAAAAGGACATCTTTTTTGGGTATTAATTCGAGAAGGTCTTGTAGGTCTTCATAGAACCATTCAACTTCAGCTTCTTCAGCATTACTGGTCGGCGCAGAGACTTGGATTACCGTGATATTGAATGGTTTGCCTTGGAAATGAAGAGATCATTCTGTAATTTTTGAGGCTGCATTCAAGTACTTCATTTCAGACTCTTTTGTTGACTATGATGGCTACTCCATTTCTTCTAAGGGATTCTTGCCCACAGTAGTAGATATAATGGTCATCTGAATTAAATTCACCCATTCCAGTCCATTTTAGTTTGCTGATTCCTAAAACATCAATGTTCACTCTTGCCATCTCCTATTTGATCACTTCCAATTTGCCTTGATTCATGGACCTAACATTCCAGGTTCCTATGCAATATTGCTATTTACAGCATCAGACCTTGCTTCCATCACCAGTCACATCCACAACTGGGTGTTGTTTTTGCTTTGGCTCCATCTCTTCATTCTTTCTGGAGTTATTTCTCCACTGATCTTCAGTAGTATATTGGGCACCTCCTGGCCTGGGGAGTTCATCTTTCAGTGTTCTATCTTTTTGCCTTTTCATACTGTTCAAAATGCGGTCCACTGGAGAAGGGAATGGCAAACCACTTCAGTATTCCTGCCTTGAGAACCCCATGAACAGTATGAACAATATATAACTATATTTCAATTAAAAAATAAATGGATTTCCAGGGAATAGAATAGGATTAGTACATATATAATCCAATCTTCTATAGTTTATACATCTGTACTCTAGATAATGAAAATTGTAATATTTTAGACTCCTCCCTTCCCCTCATTTTCTCCATGCAATGAGACACCAAGCCCTACTGATTTTCTCTCCTACAGAGTTCTCCCATCAGCTCTTCCTCTATGTATTTGTACTGCTTTAGTTCAGATGATCATCTTCTCTTGCTGGGACTCTTACAGTAGCCTCCTGATAGATCTCCCTGCTTCTACCCTCAGGCTCTTCCAAACTACCAATTGTTGCTGTTCAGTTGCTCAGTTGTGTTGACACTTTGGGACCCCATGGACTGCACTAGGCTTCCCTGTCCTTCACTATCTCCTGGAGTTTGCTCAGACTCAAGTCCATTGAGTTGATGATGCCATCAAACCATCCAGTCCTCTGTCGATCCCTTCTCCTCTTGCCCTCAATCCTTCCCAGCATCAGGATCTTTTCCAGTGAGTCAGCTCTTCCCATCAGGTGGCCAAAGTTGGAGCTTCAGCTTCAGCATCAGTCCTTCCAATGAATATTTAGGACTGATTTCCTTTAGGAATGACTGGTTTGATTTCCTTGCAGTTCAAGGGACCCTCAAAAGTCTTCTCCAGCACCACAGTTTGAAAGCATTAATTCTTCAGTGCTCAGCCTACTTTATGGCCCAACTCTCATATCCGTACATGATTACTGGGAAAGCCAGATGGACCTTTGACTAGACAGACCTTTGTCAACAAAGGTAATGTCTGCTTTTTAATATGCTGTCTAGGTTTGTCACAGCTTTTCTTCCAAGGAGTAAGCGTCTTTTCATTTCATGGCTGCAGTCACTGTCTGCAGTGATTTTGAAGCCCAGGAAAATAAAATCTGTCACTATTTTCATCTTTTCCCCATCTATTTGCCATGAAGTGATGGTACCAGAACCCATGATCTTAGTTTTTTGAATGTTGAGTTTTAAGCCCCGCTTTTCACTCTCCTCTTTCACCGTCATCAAGAAGCTCTTTAGTTATCCTTCACTTTCTGCCATTAGGGTGGTGTCATCTGCATACCTGAGGTTATTAATACTTCTCCTGGTAATCTTGATTCCAGTCAGCTTGGGATTCATCCAGTCCAGCATTTTTCATGATGTACTCTGAATAGAAGTTAAATAAGCATAGTGACAATATCCTGACAACAGCCTTGACAAAGTCCTTTCCCAATTTTGAACCAGTCCATTGTTCCATGTCTGGTTCTAACTGTTGCTTCTTGACCTGCATACAGGTTTCTCAGGAGGCAGGTTAGGTGGTCTGGTATTCCCATCTCTTTAAGAATTTTCCAGTTTGTTGTGATCTACATAGTCAAAATCAAACCTAGACAGTCAATGAAGCAGATGTTTTTCTGGAATTCTCTTGCTTTTTCTATGATCCAACAGATATTGGCAATTTGACCTCTGGATCCTTTGTATTTTCTAAATCCAGTTTGCACAACTGAAAGTTCTTGGTTCACATACTATTGAAGCCTAGTTTGAAGGATTTTGAGCATTATCTTGCTAGCATGTGAAATGAGTGCAATCATGCAGTAGTTTGAACATTCTTTGGCATTGCCCTTCTTTGGGATTGGAATGAAAGCTGACCTTTTCCAGTCCTAACAATTACATTTCCTCAAATCAATTTTCTTTCTAAAATACAAATCAGTTCCTCTCCCTCTTTAGATTAAAGTCCTTAAATAGTGTCTGATAAGCTTTAGGATAAAGTCCAAACATCTTAGCATGATTTCAGGATGCTCTGTGATTGAACAGTGTTTCCTGCTTAGCCCTGGTTAGCCTCTCTGGGACCTCTAAATACCTTAGCCTTCAGCCTTAATAAGCTATTTTTCCATAAGCTCATGCCTTTACCAAGATCTTTCCTCTGACTTAGAATCCCAACCCCCACCTACCTTTTTCTGCTTGGCCAATGTCTATTTCTTCTTCAAGTCACAGCTCAACTCCGCTGAAACGTCTCCTGTGTCCCTTATGTAAATGTTAGCACTTTTTCCCCTGTGCACTCATTATTCTCGCATATGTTGCCTTTTACAGTAGTTATTCCACTAAATTGTAATTGTTGGGGTACATATCTAACTCCCATATTGCACTGTAAACTCTGGATAGCAGGGACCATGTCTTTCCATCTTCAGTTCCCCAACTCCTAGCACTAGAACTAGCAGCTTATAGGCACTTGGTACTGCTAAGTGTTTGCTTGAATTAATGATGTTCAGGGGCTTCCTTGGTGGTCCAGTAGTTAAGACTCTGCTTCCCCTGCAGGGCATGCAGGTTTGATCCCTGGTTGGTGAACTAATATCCTGAATGCCACCAGGAGTAGCAAAAAAAAAAAAAAAAATTATGTTCAAAATAAACTTTTTTAAAAGCACTAGATCCCAAAAGGTTGTCTGAGTGATCAGAGATTAGAATTTACAGTCATAGAATGTCAGAAATGGAAGGAATCTTAGAAATCATCTACTCCTATTTTTTTCATTTTCAGATGAAGAAACTAAGAACTAAGAGAGAGGTGACGAGCTAAGAGAAGGAAAGTCATTCACTTGAAATCACACACCAATTTGGAAACAGAGTCGTGAATAAATACACTGTTCATCAGATGTTTAGTGTAAGATGGATTTCTCCTAGTCTAATAGATTATGTGTAAACTATTCTAATCAGATTAGAATTAACCAAATATCAAATTAACAGGAGTCCTACTCTATATTTTTTGGATAAGTGGACTGTATTATAATTCAGCTTGAACTGGGATAAGGTTTTGCTGTTACCTTGGTCAGGGTGCTTTATTTTCTTTAACTTGCTGGGAGCTCAGATTAAACTCATATGTGTGTGTGTGTGTAGTCATGTCCGACTCTTTTCGACCCCATGGATTGTAGTCCACCAAGCTCCTCTGTTCATGGAATGTTCCAGGCAAGAATACTGGAGCAGGTTGCCATTTACTACTCCAGGAGCTCTTTCCAACCCAAGGATTAAACCTGCATCTCTTGTGTTTCCTGCATTGGCAGGTGGGTTCTTTACAACTAGTGCCACCTGGGAGGCATTATGCTTCCAGAAAAAATCACAAGGAAAAGTATTGCAAGCAACAGTAGTAGCTGTTGGACCCAGCTCTCAAGGAAAGGGGGAAGAGATTCAATCAGTTAGAGATAAAGTTCTCTCCCAGAATATGGAAGCACCAAAGTAGTTCTAGATGACAAGGATTATTTCTTATTTAGAGATGGTGACATTCTTTGGAAATATGTCGACTGAAATAAGTCACTATTGAAATGGCATCATGTGAAGCTGCCCATTCCACTGAAGTTCTGAAATCTTTCATCATGTAAATAATTTTCTCTTTAATAATAAGAGATGTTTCTCTTTAATAATAAACTAATGATATCCAAACTGAAAAAAAAATTAAAAATAGAGCTACCATATGATCCAGCAATCCCACTGAGGAGTATATACCCGGAGAAAAACATAGTTTGAAAGAATACATGCTGATGTTCATCACAGCGCTGTTTACAATACCCGAGACATGCAAGCCACCTAGATGTCCATTGACAGGAATGGATAAAGGTATACTACATCTATACAGGGCCTCCCAGGTGGTTCAGTGGTAAATAATCCACCTACCAATGCAGGAAACACAAGAGACTCAGTTCTGTCTCTGGGTTGGGAAGATTCCCTGGAGAAGGAAATGTCAACCCACTCCAGTATTCTTTTTTTTTTTTTCAGTGGGTTTTGTCATACATTGACATGAATCAGCCATGGAGTTACACGTATTCCCCATCCCGATCCCCCCTCCCACCTCCCTCTCCACCCGATTCCTCTGGATCTTCCCAGTGCACCAGGCCTGAGCACTTGTCTCATGCTTCCCACCTGGGCTGGTGATCTGTTTCACTATAGATAATATACATGCTGTTCTTTCGAAACATCCCACCCTCGCCTTCTCCCACAGAGTCCAAAAGTCTGTTCTGTACATCTGTGTCTCTTTCTGTTTTGCATATAGGGTTATCATTACCATCTTTCTAAATTCCATATATATGTGTTAGTAATGCTGTAATGTTCTTTATCTTTCTGGCTTACTTCACTCTGTATAATGGGCTCCAGTTTCATCCATCTCATTAGAACTGATTCAAATGAATTCTTTTTAAACGGCTGAGTAATGTTCCATGGTGTATATGTACCACAGCTTCCTTATCCATTCATCTGCTGATGGGCATCTAGGTTGCTCACTCCAGTATTCTTGCTTGGACAACCCCTTGGACATAGGAGCCTGGTGGGCTACAGTCCATAGGGTCACAAAGAGTTGGACGTGACAGATAATGGGAAGGATAGGAAAACAGTTATGGGGAAGGGACAAGCAGGATTTGGGATTTCAGTTGGCTTGGGAGGTGAAGGAGAGAGAGAAGTTAAACATAATTCCAAGGTAGAAGTCAGAACATCATGAGGGATTCTGATTTTTGAGGAAAGATACTAACTATAGTTTATAAGTGTTGAGTTAGGATGATAGTGGCATACCCAAACAGGGCTGTAAGCAGTGTAAGATGAGAGCCTGGCATTTAGGAGAGAGGTCAGAACCCAAGGACAACTGTTAAAATATTGAAATAGTTTTAGACATACTGGAAAATAACCACTGCTCTGCCTGGCCTCAAGGGATTCAGCAACACATTTAGGACCCCTGGTGATGCCTGGCATATCAGGGGCCACAACTGTTTTAACACAATAGATGACAGCATCCATCTTGATGAGTTGAGGTCTCTGCCACTGGCTTTAAATATTATTACTATCTCCCCATTTCAGGACCACTGATTTTAGAGTCATAACAAAGAAGACGCCACAGAGGAAGATGAAAAGGAAAAAGGGAAAGTGACTGGGACAACACAGAGGGCTGGAGGCAGACTCCACATTAAATATCTTCATTAAGGGACTTCCCTGGTTGTCCAGTGGCTAAGACTCTGCCCTGCAAATGCAGGGGGCCTGGGTTTAATCCCTGGTCAGGGAACTAGATCCTACATTGCTGCAACTAAGAGTTTGCATGCCACAAAACTAAGACCCAGTGCAGCCAAACAAATAAATATTTTAAAAAAGGAAAAAAGATCTACATTAAGAAAATAGTATAACAATAATGGACATGAGTTTGAGTAAACTCTGGGAGATGGTGAAGGACAGGAAAGCCTGGTGTCCTGCAGTCCATGGGGTCACAAAAAATTGGACACAGCCTAGCAACTTAACAACAATGAAGAACAACATAACAATAAAAATAGAAAAGAAAATAGCATGAATTTTCATAGAATTATTCATAACAGCCAAAAAAAGGGAAACAGTTCAAACATCCATACAAACATGTAGCATATCTATACAATAGGATTTGATTCAGCCATTGAAAGGAATGTAGTATTGATACATGCTACAACAAGGGTTAAGCTTGAAAATGTTATAAAAGAAAGAAGCTGGACACAAAGAGCTATGTATTCTATGATTCCATTTATATGTGTCCAGAATAGGCAAATCTTTAAATAGAAAATAGACTGTCAGGGACTAGGGAGCGACAGCTCGTGGATCTGGGGTGACTAAGTTTAATTTTATCTGAGTCCTGTGAGCCTGGAAAACACTGAGGCTTAAAGGAATCTGCCTTTCTTTTTGTGGTCTGCAAAGAACCACCCTTCTCCCTGACTCACTGATGCCCCTCTTGTTTATTTGTGACAAGGACAAGACCTTCCACGTTCCCATCTTTGCCGTATAAATAATTAAAATGAACCACGGGTGGGACTTCCCTGGTGGTCCAGTGGCTAAGATTCTGAGCTCCCAATGCAGGGAACCGGAGTCTGATCCCTGGTCAGGGAACTAAATCCCACATGCTGCAACAAAGATTTGGTACAGCCAAATAAATAAATAAATAAAATGAAATGCTTGTCCCCACGGATCACTCGGAACAAAATGCTTATTAACAAAACTGCTTAAACATCTCTCCTCCCAGGCCCTTGACTTTTGGCCCACTCTCAGCCTGAACCAACATACAACCTGGCCTGAGGAGAGGCTGGCTGGCTGGCTTCAGGAAAAAGCATTTTCTGCTCGCTCTCTCATCATGCCACCTTTCCAGCCCATTCCCTGATCCTGGTTCTTTCCAGCCTCATTGACTCCCCTCTCTACCTCTTGAGATGCTTGCTGATCTTACAGTCATGGCATTCTCTTTATTACAATAGACTCCCTACCCCTGACTGCTGTAATCCCTTTCATCCCCTGTAAAAATTCTTCCTAATAAAATCTCTCTTTAGTAACTCTGGATTTTTAAAAATTTTTATTGGAGCATAGTTGCTTTACAATGCTGTGATAGAATTAAGACAGCAGAGGGAATCAGCCATACATACACAAATGTCCCTCTCTTTTGGACTTCCTTCACATTCAGGTCACCGTGCATTAAGTAGAGTTCCTTGTGCTATACAGTATAGTCTCCTTAGTTATCTATTTTCTACATAGTATGGATTTGTTTTTTAAGTGACATATTATTTTAGTGGTGATGAAACTATTCTAAAATTGCTTATGGTTACCATGTTTGTGAATGTACTAAAAACCATTGAAACTGTACAGTTGCAGTAGGTGAATTGTATGGTCTGTGGGCTATATCTCAATAAAGCTAGGGGTTGTTTTTTTATTTTTTAATTGGTTTTAAAAGCCATTTTTTTTAAGACTATGAGAGAAAGGGAAAAAAAAGTTAGCAAACAGGACAAGAAATACTGTGAATAAAAACAATAGGGAACTTCCCTGGTGGTCCAGTGGTTAAGAATCCATCTGCCAATGCAGGGGACACAGGTTTGATCCTGGGTTTGGGAAGATTCCGCATACTGCAGAGCAACTAATCCCGTTTGGCACAAGTGCTGAAGCTCACTCGCCCTAGAGCCTGCAGAGAAGCCACTGCAATGAGAAGCCTGTACGCTACAACTAGAGTAGCCTCTACTTGCCACAACTAGGAAAAGCCTAAGCAGCAATGAAGACCCAGAATGGCCAAAAAATAAATAAATAAAAATTGAAAATAAATAAATAAAATAGTATAATTATAAAAAAATAATAATAATACAGCTTCACAAAGGTCAAGAGGGAGAGTCTTAATGGCAAATTGGTCACTAGTGCTAAATGTTGTGGAGAGTTCAAATAAAATTAGAAAAGAGATCATTGGTAGAATATGGAGTTTATTAGTGATTTTTAAGTGCTCTTTTAGTAGAAAGGAAGCCACCTTTTTGGATTAACTGAAGAAATTTAAGGACTGAATTGGGAGTAAGGGATATGCAGTTTTAGAAAATAATGAACTCTGAACAGGAGAAAATGTATAGACCCAGCCTTGGAAGGTCAGGGAGGTAAAACCAATTAAGACAGCAGTGTTGGTTTGTCTGTGTTTGTTTTTTTTTATTTTTAGGTTAAGAGACCCATGCATGCTGAAGGTAGAGGGGATAAAATAAATAATAATTAATTAATAAATAATTTTCATTGCTTTCTGGCTCAGGAAACCTATCCTATACATTAAAGTTTGAAGGAAAAGAAAGAATGAATTTTTTTTAAGATTTTTTTTTTTAATGTGAACCATTTTTAAAGTCATTGCATCTGTTACAATATTGCTCCTGTTTTATGTTTTTATTTTGGCCTGGAGGCATGTGGGATTTTAGCTCCCTGACTAGGGATCAAATCCACACCCCTTGCCTTGGAAGGCAAAGTCTTAATCACTGGACCACCAAGGAAGTCTCAGGCATTTTTGAAGAGAAAAATATGTAAATATTACGGGCACTTTTTCATATATGTCAGAGGGGCAAGAATTGTGCCTATAAGTCTAGGGAGAGAAACATTACTGCTGACTGTGAGCCAGCTGCTGAGGACTGGTTTTCCATTCGAGATGGTTTCTCTGATGTGAAGGTATATCATTCATCCCAATCATTTATTATTAACGAAACACATTGTCTCCCTAGGACTCTCCAGCACGTATCCAAAATGGAAGGGAATACACTGCACCCCTCACACCTCATTGGTGCTCCCTTAATGTAAGCTGGTAAGATTTAAGGTGGAACCTCGATAAGAGAATGCCTGGCTACTCCCCCAGCCCCCACCTCATGTCCCTGCAGAAAGGGCAGGGGTGGAAAGGGATGGAAGGCTGTACCCTGTAAACCTTCCCTACTCTCCTGGGAAGTGGGGACAACCTTCCCTGAGCTGCTGGAGCATCTTCCACTTTGTATCAGAAACTATTTTTGCATCTGTCACCCCTGCTACCCTATGAGCTTCTCAACAGGAGGGACTGGGCTTTTTTGAAGTCCCCAGCCCAGAACCTGGCTCCTGGCAAGTAGTCACACTTTGCTGAACAGATGGATGGATAGAGGAACACAAGAGAGAGCTGTGAGATTCCAGCTGCTGACAGGTTGCATCCTGATGTTCTTTTTCTGGGCCAAAGGGTTGTTTGTTTCCACCTCTCTATCCCTTTTCCAGACTGCTTCACCAGCTGAAAGTACACAATGGAACAGTGTGCCTTTCAGCAAATAGAGTGAGCAATGGAAAATGCAAAGCATCAACCCCAAATGCAAGCTGTGGCAGGCTGGACGCGATTCCAAATGAAGAGAAACTGCTTATTTTCACTGAAATGGACTGAAGTCCTCTGGGAAGGATTATTTGGCTCCCATTCTGAGCGCTGGGGTTGATAAAGCTGCTGCACCCAGGCTCAGCACGCCCCCTGTTGAATTTAGCTGACATTTAGTAACAAGAGGAACAGGAGAGCATCCTGTCTGATGCAAATACTTCTTGGACACAGGGGAGCAGCGAGAGGGCTCTTTCTGTGAAATTCTCAAAGAGCCATCAAATGAGTCAGAGCATATTCACTAGACTATCCCTGGGATATAATTTGATTCATCCAAAAATATGGACATTCTTTTTTGAAGACCAGAAATCCCTTCCTGATGAGAGAGTCAGAATGGCATGGACTTGATTCTTTTTATGTATGCAACCACAAAAGCAAATCAACCCCCAAAACTTATCTTCAGGACCCCCCAATGTAATCTGTATATGTCGACTGATAGACAACTGGTTAAATAAGTATAGTACACCCTTCTCAGGTGACTCAGTGGTAAAGAATCCACATGCCAATGAGTTCGATCCCTGAGTCGGGAAGATCTGCTGGAAAAGGAAATGGCAACCCACTCCAATATTCTGGCCTGGAAAATCCCATGGACAGAGGAGCCTGGTGGGCTACAGTACATAGAGTCACAAGGAATTGGACACGATTTACTGACTAACCACACACATGCACATTGGAAAACAAGGCCTCTCTTGTACTGATATGAACAATCTCCAAGATATATATTCAGTTCAGTTCAGTTCAGTCGCTTAGTTGTGTCCGACTCTTTGTGACCCTGTGAATCACAGCACTCCAGGCCTCCCTGTCCATCACAAACTCCCGGAGCTTATCCAAACTCATGTCCATCAAGTCGGTGATGCCATCCAGCCATCTCATCCTCCATCATCCCCTTCTCCTTCTGCCCCCAATCCCTCCCAGCATCAGGGTCTTTTCCAGTGAGTCAACTCTTCACATGAGGTGGCCAAAGTATTGGAGTTTCAGCTTCAGCATCATTATATATATATATATATATATATATATACATATATATATATCAGTTTTTGTAGGTGTGCGAAGACTTCCTAGAGAAGATTCCACAAGAAAATAATAATTGTTGTCCCCTGAACCAGAAATTAAGTTTGCTTCAGATAGGGATAGAAAGAAAACTTCTTTTCACTATATTTCTTTGTGAGCCATTTGCAATTTGCATCTTATGTGTCACCTATGAAAGCTAATCAATTTTTTAAAAGAAAGAACCTTATGAAAGTCCTGTTAGTTTCCTTACTGTCACTCTTCTTTCTCTCCAGAAGTCTTGTCAATCCTCAGTGGAAGGAACTCAAACTGTTATTAATACATTTTTTTAATCAAATTCTAAAATAAATACGTACTCTGTCAGTTCTAGTATATAAATACATGTGATTTTATATACCAGTTCATTCTATTTGAATCTCAGACAAGAAAGCCACTTGTTTCTGTGGAAACAGCAATTGAAGTGTCAGGGGAAATATTTTGTTCAATAGCTGTTGGGACTATTCCAGATGATTCCAGGCTATCCCAGACAGTGAGTTCCTCAGCTTCTTTCTGGGTGGGTAGCTTCTCTGACTGGATTAATAGGGCCTTGCAATTTTTTACGCTTCCTAATGATAATGCATGCCAGATGAGAAGTGACCTTTTGCCAAGATCATCATCGATCCAGCTGGGGAAACCCAAGGTTGGTTTCCTAACCGGGGAAAAGGTTTGCAGCTTTTCTGGGGGAAAGGGGCTGGTACTGCTCCAGTGCTGTGCTAGAGGGTAAAACCGGGGAGAATGGGCCTTCTCTCCTGGACTTCTTGATCCTGCTCAGAAGTGCCTGCTCCTTGGTACCCATCATAGTGGGAAATATATTTGTAGGTCGACAGGCTGGCGGCACACATGGGTGGCAGCATCTGCCCTTCCCTGTGCTGGTGAAAGATACAGCCTGCCAAGATGGAAAGTGCCAGAGAGAGGTCCTGACACCTGGTTTGAGCTCCAGAGTAATGTGAACTTGCTGGCAAACCTCCTAGCAAGTCATTTGCTCTCTCCAGACCCTCTGTTTCCAGTCTGTCGAGTGACGAGGTGGGGTCTGATATTTCTGCAAAGCGCCATAGTCTCTGGGCTCCAGAGAGATGGGTGAACTCCCTGTCCTGCACTCAACTCGGTGTCAGCCAGGCCTCTGGAGCAGGCGGAAACACGGGGAAAGGTGGTTTTTAGAGAGAGGTGAGCAAAAACCTCTGGTTTCTATTTTATTGCCCATCTTTACCCTCCTCTGTTAGGATAATTCTAAGACGGACTTGAGGAGCTTGGAGACCCCTCACCACCACTGTGGCTCTAACGTGTAAGTTCTTCCCTCCCTTCGCAAAGGACCCCTCAAGCTTTTGCGAACAGTGCTGGGTAACTTGATGGGGCGGGTAGTCAGAGGTCCCGTAGAAAAGGCTGTGGAAGCCATAGATCCTTTCCCTCTCTAAAACGGGACACCGGCAAACACAATAGTTTGCACGTAGTTTCAGGATATCCTGTCCCACCTGACGACCTGCTCTGGAACTTAAAAGGCAGGGGTGGGTTTGCGGGTGAGAGAAAAAAGCGGGAGGGAAAAGCAGAGCAACACTCCAGGACCTGTTTCCCTTCCCAAGCGCACATTCCTCTGCCCCAGTCCCGCTCCCGCCGCCTCCACTGCCAGCGGAGGCCCTGGTCTCCCGTTCCAACTATTCCAACCATCCTAGGAAGGGTGGGGCGCTCGGCTCTTGGGTCCCCCTGGGCTGCCCCTCCTTCTCCAGCATCGGTCTCCCCTTCTGCCCCGGTCCCTCCCTTTCTGGGGTCGGGCCAGCCAATGGGCGACGAGACTCCTGGGTTTGGCCTGGGATTCGGGGAACTCACCGATCCCCCGCCCCACAGTTCTGGCCACCATCCCGGTGCGCACGGACGTGGCTCGAGTTTCCTCCGCGCTCTCTTTCGCTCTTCCTCTTCTCCGGGTCTCCCGCTCCCGCTTCAGCTCCACCCGGCCGGCCCCGCACGGCTCCGGGCAGCCATGGAGGACACCCAGCTCCACATCATCGAGCAGCCGCTTTCCGGGTACCCCGACGCCGGGGACCAGGGGTCCTCCACTATGGGGGCTCCGGCGGCCGAGGAGCCGTCGGGGGCCGGCTCTGAGGAGCTGATCAAATCAGACCAGGTGAACGGCGTGCTGGTGCTCAGCCTTCTGGACAAAATCATCGGCGCCGTCGACCAGATCCAGCTGACCCAAGCGCAGCTGGAGGAGCGGCAGGCGGAGATGGAGGGGGCCGTGCAGAGCATCCAAGGTGAGCTGAGCAAGCTGGGCAAGGCGCACGCTACCACGAGCAACACCGTGAGCAAGCTGCTGGAGAAGGTGCGCAAGGTCAGCGTCAACGTGAAGACCGTGCGCGGCAGCCTGGAGCGCCAGGCCGGCCAGATCAAGAAGCTGGAGGTCAACGAGGCCGAGCTGCTGCGGCGCCGCAACTTTAAAGTCATGATCTACCAGGTGAGTTGGCGGGCGGACCGCGCCCAGAGGTCCGGCGTCCCCGGCCCGGAGCTCAGGGTGGGGGGACCTGCCCGCGGCGCGGCTCTTGCGGCAGCCTGACCCGGCTCGGGGGATCCACCCTCTTTCCACGAGCGCTGCTGGGGTGGGGTTGGGTGGGTGGGTTGGGGGCGGGCTCCTGGAGCGCTCAGAGGGGCGCGCGGTGCACACCGCGGCTCCTCACCCAGACGCTACCTCCGGTGTCCAACGCGTAGTGGAATCTAGTTAGGGGGCTGGACTCAGGGACACTGCGCCCCGCAGATCGTTCCCGACCTGGCTTGTCAAAAGTCTTCCTACTTGGAGGAAGTTTTGGGGAGAGCCGGGGTGTCTGGCGACCACTGGGGCCCGCTGTAAGCGGACACGGGCGGCGCGGCCCGGGTTTGGGGCCTCCGGCGCTGCCCGCCCGATATAGCGGGTGATTCAGGGCTCAGGCACGCATCGCGGGGGCTGCGCCAGGCGAGGGACGCGGCTGCCAGCACGCCCCCGCGGACCCCGCATCGGCCTCGGCCGCCCACGAAGCCCCTCGCTGCGATCCTCTCCCGCCTCCCGGCACTTTGGGCCTTTAGGGACACCCTAGCCCGCGGCGCGCCCCTACCCCTCGGCCTGTTGGAAGCAGCCGCGCGAGGGTGGTGTCCCGCGGCGTGAGGTGTCCTGAAGGGGCTGGTGGAGGGGAGGGGACAGCACCCCCACCTTGGCCCCGCGGTCTGGGCGCGGTGAATCACCCCGCATGCCTGCGGGGGCGGCCGAGGAGCAGGAGGACAAGCTGCCGGAGGCTGGCGCGCCGCAGGCTCCGCCCAGTCAGCTTGTTGCTTCCTTTGCACCTCTCCCGGTTCTTCCCGCCTGGAAAAACAAATGGGAGTTTTTGTATCCTAACCCCAAGTAAACCAGGGCATCTCAGGATCACTGCTCTTCTCCACTCTGCCGCCCAAATTCCATTAGGGGCGGGTCTGAGCCGAGGGCTCGGTGATCTTGGGTGGGGTGGGAACGTGCCCAGCCTCGTGTTTCTGCTTCCCTCGGCCTGGTTGACGTTCCCACCCCAAGGAGGTGAAATCCTGGGGGCCGAGGGGTTAGTCTATGTCCCCTCTCTCCCCTCCCCGCATCGAAGGGAATGTGAAAAAAAGAAGGCCCGATTTCCCACATCCCCCGAGGGAGAGGGCCTCTGTCCCGGAGATGTGGTTTCACTGACAGCTCAGAGGCCCTCCCTAGCTGTGTTCTGAGTGACCATCAGGGATGCGGCGAGGTCCTTGGTTTCGCCAGTGTGGTGGAGCTAAGAGAAATGCAGATTGAAACAAGCAAGGTCGGGAGCAGTAGATTTAAGTGAGCTGGCACTCATCTGAGAAGAAGGTGCTGGGAGGAGGCTGCAAGGTTGCTCCCCCCTTTCTCCTCCCTCCAGGAACTCCTCCCAAGAGGTACTCGACCTTTAAACAGTTTACTTCCCCCCTGCCCAATATAGCACTAACTGATAGAAAACATTTGCCCAGAATTGTTTCTACTTAATTTAACTGCTCGGAGGAAGCAGAATGGGGGGTGGGGGGGGGGGGGGGTGAGATTTTTTTAAGAGAACTGCCTAGCACTGGGGTGCATCAAACGAAGGAGAAGAGGGCAGGGCTCTGGGACAGCAGGTCCCCTCTATCTTCTTTCCAGAGCCTGGTGTGGGAGAGGGGAGCCATGAAGGGCTTGGATGGTTGACCCTTCTCATTCAAAATGTCCCAGACCACAGAACTGGAGTGTCAAAGATGGAGATTCTGAGAGACTTCTGGGCAGAGCCCAATGGCGTGTCTGTTACTGCCTCTAGCCAGTTGGCACAGATTATGTGTCTGTGTATTGTGTATCCACGGTGGGGAGGGGGTCTTAATCACAGGGTGGCTTTGATTGCATCAAGGCTAGTGGGGGACAGAGGGTTGAGGTAGAGGAATGACTCAAGCTGGAGACCTTGAGCCCCCAGATCACAGGGGAAATAACTAATACCTAAAGTGGTCCCAACCCATGGTGAAGCTCTGGGGGAAAAAATTCCAGCAACAGGGGTGGGGCCCAAGGCAGCGGAACTTCCCTGAGTTGCAGAGCAGATGTTCCAGGTGGGGGTGAGGGGGTGGGGTACTCAGCTGTTGGAGGAAAGCAGAGGCTGCTTCTCCCTGAGGCCTGCAGGCCTGGGAAGAGAATGAGGTAAAAATAGCCTCATGCCTTGGCAGACCTAATAGGGAAGCTTGGGGGCAGCAACATTTATGATAAAGTTGGGCTGAGGGGGTAGGATGTTTGGGTGGCCAGGCAGAGAGATCTGGGGAAAGGCTGCCCTGGGATGATGTGAGTTTTCCAGTTGGTGAGGGGATGTGGTGTTCCCCACTGCAGAGGCGGGAGGTGATGATGTGGCAAAAGGGGGATGTGGAGGGAGCGTGAAGGGGTGGGAAGGCCCCAGCTGTGGGATCAGGCCATTTGGTTTCCCACATCTTTTTCCTGCTGGATAACAGAGGGAATCCCTTGTGTGGTCCCACCCAAATTCAGGGAACTGCTAGGCATAACGATTTCACAGGTTAAGTTTGCATTTGACATCCCTCCCCTTCACACACCCACACACACACACACACACACACACACATGAAATTCAGCCCCTCCCATCACAGGATATCAGAGCCCTCACCTTGAACTCACTTCTGAGTCATTATTGTCCTTCTTTGGCATTTCCCTCCTTGTTTCCCAAACAAAAACAGCAGTTTGGCATCCCATCCTATCAGGCAACACCTCACTAGGCAACAGCCAGTGAGGGAGAGAAGTGAATCCTACTAGTAGCTGAGGGGTCAGTGGACCAAGAACTGCTAGGAAGACCAGGCCAGCTACGGCCCCATGCAAATAGGAGCATCTGTGCTCAGTAAGGAGGGGTTCCCAGATGGCTCAGCAGTAAACAATCCGCCTGCCAAGCAGGAGACTCCGGTTCGATCCCTGGGTCAGGAAAGAAATGTCAACCCACTGCAGTATTCTTGCTTGGAAAATTCCATGGACGGAGGAGCCTGGCAGGCTACAGTCCATGGGGTCGCAAAGAGTCGGACATGACTGAGTGACTTCACTAGCTAGCTAGTACTCTTGCCTGGAAATTTGCATGGACAGAGGAGCCTGGTGGGCAATAGACCATAGGGTCGCAAACAGCTGGACACAGCTCAGTGACCAAACAGCAGCAGCAAGAGCTCAAAAACAGCTCCTCATTAAGGAGCCAATTCTCCTAATCCTAGTATCCAATCCTAGTTTGGATGTTATTAGAGTTATTTTAGAATCCAGAAAGGGAGGCTAAAATGGAAATAAACGTGTTCTGAAGTAGTTTTGATGAAGCAGTTAGTGACCTACATTTGGACCCATCAGACCTGCTCCAAGGGCTTGAGAGCAGGACCAGAAGCATTTAAGGGCTTATGTGGAGCATGAGCTTTAAAGGGGTGGACACCAGGGCTGGCGTGAGGGCCTCCTGGCTTCTCCTCCTCAAATCCTAAACCAGACTATAGCTCCTGCCTGGACTCAAAGCAAATCAGTGCTACCTGGTTCCAGAAGAACCCCACACTTTTGTCCAAAATATCATCCCAACTTGGGGCTCTGGTCCCTCTCACCCCCTGGTGGCCTAGTGGAGAGTGTTTACCATACGCTTCCTCCAAAAAGCTAAGTTTGGGTTGTTTTTCCTGGTCACTGGATACAAGTGTTAGTTGCTCGGTTGTGTCTGACTCTTTGCAACCCCATGGACTGTAGCCCGCCAGGCTCTTCTGTCCACTGAATTCTCCAGGCAAGAATACTGGAGTTGGTTGCCATTCCCTTCTCCAGGGGATCTTCCTGACCCAGGGATCAAACCAGAGTCTCCCGCATTGTGGGCAGATTCTTTACTGTCTGAACCACCAGAGAATCCAAAAATCTACCAGTGGATCCAAAACAGGGAGCATATTCTTAGAGGTATTCCTAAAGACCAAAGGAAATCATACTCCTACCTCTGATTTTTTTAAAGTGAAGTCTGAGATGGGCAATTGATAGGGAGAGGGAATATTGTTGCTAGGCAACCAACCACAAAGATAAGTGGTGGTTTGTTCCATTATTTTGAACTACCATTGTGAATAGTTCATCATTCTGTCACTGTAGACTTTTTGAGCTGGAAGATGCTTTGGAGATAGTCAACTTCAGCTGTTTCATTTTGTAGTGAAGGAAGCTGAGGTCCCAAGAGGGGAAATCACTTACCTATTGCTACTCAAGCACTTGGGGGTCAAAGCTGAGGCAAGGGCCCAGGTGTACCCCCTTCTTCTGCTATATTCGCTGCTCCTTGCTTCCTCCTTCTTTTCCTGGGCTATGCAGCAGAAATTGGGGTTGGGGGAGGCTAGCCCTAAGCAAGGACAGTCCTAGCTTCTTCATTCTCTGAGGGAGACAGCTGCACAGTTCTGGCACTGGGACAGATTTGGGGGGGGGGGCATGTGTGTTTGTGAGGATGTGTGTGCCTGAAGGTGTGTGTGTGAGGGTGTGCATATGAGAGTGTGTGTGAAGGTGTGTGTATGAGGGTGTGTGGGTTGGGGGTATGTGTGGGGGTGCGTGTGGCTGTGTGTGAGAGGGCTTGTGTGTGAGGGTGTGTCTGTGTGAGGGTATGTGTGTGTGTGAGGGTGTGTGTGTACAGTTAGCTGAGGGGCTAAGGTGGGTGGCCATAGCTGCTCAGCCTCATAGTGCTGAAGCAGAGGCAATGTGGTCGCCTCTCCCAGTGGCCGTGGAGGGGAGGGGTGCAGGGTGTACGGAGTGGAGCTCTCTGGCCAGGAGGAGACCACATTGGCTCCTTTCTCCTCAGCCTCCCTGCCACTCCTCTCTTCTCCCTGCATCCTGCAGGGAAGGTGGGCACTTGCTGTGTTGGGTTTTGTGGCTGCACCCCTTAACACTGTTGCCGCTGGAGTCTGGCAGCGCCCACAAATGTCCCTCTCCCCTGACTTCTCATGACTCCAGATCTAGAGCAGCAGCTCAGC